TTTTTTTTTTTTTTTTTTACAAATTTAAATTTTATTTAAATTAATTCCGAATTTTAATTATTTTATTTTAATACTACAATAAAAGTTGATTTAACTCTAGTAACAGATGTGATGACAGGCTTAACACCACAAATATCAGGTTCACCAACAAGAAAATCTGTTGGCCTATCACAGGACCTAACGTTCTCTTTAATGTCTGGACCTGATACTGTACTAGCGGATTTTATGGCATCAGATTATACACAATTCTCAGAATGGACTGATGGATTAAACATGTTATTTGATAAAAATATTGGAAGCAAAGATACAGCAGAATTCATACAGATTCTGACAGAAATTGGAGTAAAGGTTAAATTGTTGGATTTGAGTGGTGAGAAAGTTGAAATACCACAAGGTGTTGAAGTACCTAGGGAGTTACCTGTTGTTGATAATGGATTTTATTATGGTGACCCTTTTTCATAATATATGATTCGATTTATCAGTGTAACAAATTATTATTTATATATAAGTAGAAAATTTTAGTCCTCAGATTTGAAAGTTAATTTACATTTCTTATTAATTTTTTATTAAATAATTATTAGATATAATTATTATTGTATACATTTTTTAGTTTTAGTTTGTAATCTAAAATGATTTAGAGTTTACGTATGAGATTATTATTATTGTATAACTATTATTATTATTATTATTATTTATCAAAAATTGAACCATTAATAAAGGCGTACAATTATGGTGATCTGAGCTTCTCATGATTAACTTCTATCTCTCTTCAATAAATATCAGTTACAATTTATTTTATTTTTTATCATTTTTATATAAATATAACTTATAATTAATTTAATCAGCTATACACATACGATATTAAGTAATGATAACACGTCTTTTTAGTCATAGAGGAAGAGAGAACACTTGGTTGTGAATATTTAAATTTTACTGGCGAACTTAGCCTTGAAAAATTGATTATAGGTATTGATTATCTGTGTTTTGATTTTTTCATCTCCGCTAGGAATCTAGACTTTAACTCCTGGCGCTTTATTTAATTTGTAAATTATAATTATTTTGTTACTTTTAAAATCACAATTTTTTTTATTCAGATCAAAGTATCACTGTTTTATTTTTAATGAATTGCTTTATTTGTCAAAAGTAGCTAATACATGTGAAAAAATCTATTTTATTGTAATGTTTAAAAATATTCATCTATATGTTATATTGGTGTTAAATAAAATGGTTAAATTCTAGAATATAAAATACAAATTTAAAGTTATAGTATGACGACAATATTATCAATTTTGTTTTCTATAAATTATTGTTATTGTTATTAACTGCAAATGGATGTGTTAAAAGTACTTGAGCAGTCGGTCGATCATCTTGATTTCTAATAAGAAAAAAAAAATTCGTTAAATTTTTTTTATTGCATTTTGAATAATAAATTTATATATCATCTAATAACGTACGACTCAAATGTTTTGCTCAAGAAATCTTGTGCCTCTTCGGAAATTTCATCTGGAATTTTAGGCGCACAAGCTTGTAATCCAATCTATATTTACATAAGTCAATTAAAAAAAAATCCAATTTATATTTAAAAATTTTATAACGTTAATAAATTGATACCTTAAACATTGCTTGCGTTTGGTTGAATTCTGGAAAAGGATGATCCCCAGTAAACATTTCAACAATCAAACATCCTAAACTCCATATATCAGCTTTACTTGTATAAGGTGTTTGTTGTATAACTTCTGGTGCCATCCAAAACACAGAACCCTGTAATGATGGCCGTTGTGCTGAAGTTGCTGCCATAAATTCTGTTGCATGATAAGATAGATTACAAGTTAATAATAATATTAGTAATAGTAATAATCATAATAATGATCATAATAAATCATAATCGTTATCATTATTATAATAATAATAAATAAATAAATAACATACGATCTTCAACTTTTTTCGAAATTCCGAAATCCGATATTTTGATTATTCCTTTATTATCCACTTTTATTAGATTCCATAGACAAATTACTGTGATCAATAATTTTACAATATAAAAAATCTTATTAAGCAAAAGCAAAGATAAATTTACCCAAAACATTAGCGCCTTTAATATCTCTATGTATAATGTCTTTTTCGTGCAAGTAATTCAGTCCTTGTAAAATTTGCCTAACAAATGATCGAATTAATGGCTCTTCTAATGGACCATAATTATTAAGCATTGTGGCTACTGATCCGCCAGGTACATATTCCAAGAAAATGTTAAATGTTCCTTCTTCATACTGTGAACCTAAGAAATATGTGAAAATATTGTACAATCGTACTTTCTTTACAAATAAAGTGGATTGAACAAAAAGAATTATTTCTTACCGAGATATTGCACAATATTTTCATGCTGCAACTCTTCTAAGAGCGTAATTTCTCTTTGCAGAGCATCCAACTGTAAAAATAGTCATAATAATAGAATTATTATGTATAAACAATCCGTCGTCATTAAATAAAGGAAATTATTATACTAACCATTGTTTTTTTACGTTCATTATTTGAGGAATTTTCCGTAGGTAATTCCACTTGCTTAACAGCCATTAATTCTCCAGTAAAAGCATTAAGTCCAAGATATACGCTACCAAAAGAACCCATGCCTATAAAATTGCCTTTTATCCACTTAATCTTTGAACAATTTTCGACTACAAAAATCATAAATATGAAATTATTTGTGTTACTAAATACAATGGAATGAATATTATGTTATTCACTTACCATCTACTATTTCTGAATCAGATACCAAATCTTCTTCGTCCTCATAATCAAAATCTTGAAAGTAATCACCATCTTCCTCTTGTTGTTCTTGAATGGTTGTATCGGAACTTTCCTCCTGTTGCTCTTGAATGGTTGTATCGGAACTTATTGAAGGTTCCATTAATATACTTAACCTATCATCATTATAATTAGAAACAGTAACAGTATTTAATCTATCACTATTATAATCATCGTCTAATTCAAATGTGCGTTTTGATCTATCACTGTTATAATCATCGTCTAAACTAGATGTACGTTTTGATATAATACTATTATAATCATCGTCTAATTTAGATGTACGTTTTGATAAAATACTATTATAATCATCGTCTAATCTAGATGTACGTTTTGATATAATACTATTATAATCATCGTCTAATCTAGATGTACGTTTTGATATAATACTATTATAATCATCGTCTAATTTAGATGTACGCTTTGATCTAATACTATTATTATCATCGTCTAATTTAGATGTACGCTTTGATTTTTGTATTGAAAGTTTAGAGGCTGAAGAAACTCTTGATGCTCTTCTATAAATGGTGTTTCTATAAATGGAGTTTCTATAAATGGAACTTCTAGCAACACTACGTTCAAGTTCTTCGCTATTATGGCCAGGAAAGTATTCTGTCAAATTTAATTGAATTAATTCAGAAGGAGGGCGTTGACCAAAGAAATCTCTCAATTTTTTTTTAGAGACTCCAACTTGTGGACTATTTGGTGGTTTTTCACCAAAAAATTTTTCTAAATTTTTTTTTTGTTTCTTTGAATTCTCATAACTCATTTTTGGAAGATGTTTCTTTCGTAAAGTGAGCCTTTCACGTTCTGGTCTATCGGAACTTTTACATATTTCAATTATTTCTTCTTCATTTAAACTTCGTGCTGTAAAATAAATTTAATGCCATTTTTAACTAAATATTAATAATTTAAATTGAATAAAACTACAAATACATACTTTCACCAGTATCACTCAGAGTGGCAAATAATGAATAATTTTCAACGTCTTCATTAATATTAAATTTTTGTAAAATACGTTTTAAAATCGACTCTGCGTCAACGATATTATTTAGTGAAATAGTTCGTGTTTGGCCTTCTTCACCATAAACTTTAATGGTACTCTAAAATAAGTAAAAGAAATTATCATTGGGAATTATTGTTTGAATTTTATACAATGACTATTTATAAACTATCTTTTTTCGAAAAAAAAAAAAAAACTAGAATTGCCTGCTTGATACACTCAATAGGAATTACGGGAATTTCCTGTTGCTAAATTAAAGATATAATTTAGTTCAAAATTCTTATTATTTGTATTATTTATAAGATAAATTTTATAGCATTTACGGAAGGTAAACTTGGAGAATATCCACGATTAGTAGAATTTGATCTTGTGCGCGAGCGAGCGTTTGAATTTGATCTTGAGAGAGAAATTGGAAATTTGTCAGTTTCAGGTGAATTTGGTTCCTAAAGAATATATATATAAAAAAAAAAAGGAATATAAATCAAAATAATATGGTTATCTGTATATGAGGAATTTCGAAAAAAGTTGAAGATCGTATGTTATTTATTTATTTATTATTATTATAATAATGATAACGA